CCTCCTTCTCTCTTTCCTCCCTTCCTTCCTTCCTTCCCTCCCTCCTTCCTTCCTTCCCTCCTTCCCTCCCTCCCTTCCTTCCTTCCCTCCTTCCCTCCCTCCCTTCCTTCCGTCCTTCCTTCCTTCCCTCCTTCCCTCACTTCCTCCCTCCTTCCCTCCTTCTCTCTTTCCTCCCTTCCTTCCTTCCTTCCCTCCCTCCTTCCTTCCTTCCCTCCTTCCCTCCCTCCCTCCCTCCCTTCCCTCCCTTCCCTCCTTCTCTCCTTCCCTCCCTCTGGCTCCCTCCTTCCCTCCCTCCCTCCCGTCCTTCCTTCCCTCCTTCCCTCCCTCCTTTCTTCCTTCTCCCTCCTTCCTTCCATGCCCAGGAGAAACCAGACTTAGTTCAACCCCCAGCTGCTGCCACAGCTCCCATGAAGGGCATGGTTGGGGCCCAGGGTGGCCACAGGGCCAGGCAGGTGCAGATCACAGCCCTGCAGGGAGGGGCAGCCAGGTGGCTCCCTGGGGCTCAGAGTGTGTCCCTGCGTTCCACACAGAGAGGTACAACCCACCGGCCAACATCACCATATGCTGCAACGCGTCACACTGCCTCGTGCGTTGGGAGGAGCCCCGGACCAGGCAGAACCTGTCCCACAGGGATTTTCGGTACCAGCTGGACATCCAGAGAAAGGTGAGTGGGGCCTGCTCTGTGCTGCCCATGAAGCCTCAGGGCACAGGACACACCTTATTGTGAGTTCCTGTTCCCCCCAGTTCCCCCTGCCCACTCCCAGTTCCCCCGGCCTACGGTCAAGCTCCTGCCCACTCCCAGTTCCCTGCCCTCTCCGGGTCAAGCTCCTGCCCTGTCCCATTCCCCTGCCCTCCGCCCTAGGGGCCTTCCCAACCTGTTTCCATGCTCTCCAGAATTCAGAGGCACAGAAAACTCCCAAGTTTCACAAAACCCCCATGTTCTCAGTAGCTGAACAATGGTGGAAAACTCACCGAGGCTTGATTAATCACTGTTGTATAACTGTAACCATTGTGATTTAAGATGTATCCATTGATTAGTTATTGTTATATAGTCATAACCATTGTGATATGAGACGTATCCATTGACAACCAAGCTATAACCCTGCCAATGGCAACATTCCTTGTCCCCTATCCTGTCCACCCCCACCCCCTGCCACTCCCTTAAGCTACGCAGAGAAAAAAAAGGTATAAAAGACAAAAAACCCTGCACTTTGGGCTGCTTGTCTCAGAACAATGGCCCCCTGCGCAGGTGTGAATAAATCACCAATTAATAGCATCTGAGTAGGTCCGAGTTTATTTTTTCTTTTTCTTTTTTTTTTTAATTTCTTATTGTAGAAGACTGAAACTAGACCCACACCTTTCACCATTAACTCAGATAGACTGTCATTGCATTGAAGATCTAAACTTAAGACATGAAACTATGAAAATACTAGAAGAAAGTGTAGGAAAAACACTTGAAGAAATCGGCTTGGGTGAAATTTTTTTCATAACTCCAAGGTTATTTCAACCTGAGCACAGTTGAGAGGCCCTGGGAACCACACATGGGGTCTGTGTGGGCATGGTGTGGGGACGAGGGCAGGGCTAGAAAGCTGGACAGGGTGCCCTGAGCATGGAGAACCCCCCATGAGAAGGCCGCAGTGGTCGCACAACAGAATCTCATGGACGCAGCGTGGAGATGTGTGGTTGAAACTTCTGAAAATCTTTAGAAATATAGCAACCTGGACCTTGCATTTTATTGTTTTCCTAGAACATATCACCTGGGAGCAGAAATTCATTGGTAAGTCCAACCCCCGCCCCTATCGGGGCTCCTTCTGTGACCACAGTGTGGGGACAGGGGACAGCCACTGTGTTCTTGCACAGCCCGTGCTCAGGAAACATTCAGCAACCTCAGAGCTGTGAGCCCACCCCTCGTCCTGTCTTAGCTTCATCCTCCATGCCTCAATTGTTGGGATGTATCTGTTGAGTATCTCTCCTTTATTTAATTTAATTTTTTTTTAGTGTCTCACTATGTTGCCCTCAGTAGAGTGCTGTGGCGTCACAGCTCACAGCAACCTCAAACTCTTGGGCTTAAGCAATTCGCTTGCCTCAGCCTCCACAATGCCTGACTATTTCTTTGTTGCAGTTGTCATCCTTGTTTTAGCTGGCCTGGGCTGTGTTCAAACCCACTAGCTTTGGTGTACATGGCTGGGTTCAAACCCACCAGCCTTGGTGTACACGGCTCACTGAGCTACGGGCACTGCCCTGACTATCTCTTCTCGACCCTCACATTCTGTGGCTCTTTCCCTGTGTTGGTTGAGAAAATATTTCTCTGGGTGTTTTCTGTTATTCCTTCCTCCAAGACACCCCTCCAGTTAAAATGGTAAAATCCTTTCTTGTGATAGTTTCCAAGTCTAAGTGCCACTCAGACCCTCAGTATCTTCCTCGGTGAAAGGAGTTAGTGGGACTCGGGGGGTCTTCATAGCCCACATAGAACTGTCCATCTCCGGGTCTCTGGGTCAGTTGACATCTGTTCTTGCACCCCAATAATTTCTCCCTCTATACGAACAGATATGTGTCCCAGGGAGCAGGTTTTGGAGAAGCAATCAACCACGCACCTGTTACTCATTTAAGCACAGGTGTGATGTGCTTGGCATATAAAGATACCCAGTAGCTTTATAAAGCATGTGTTTCTAAACGGCATGACTGCTCCCTGTAACGATAAAACAGTTTTTATCCTGTAACAGAATTAACCTTTCTATTTTATGTTTTCCATATCTAGACTGAGAGAGTGTGGTTTCGAAACGTTCACTCATTTCGTATCTTAGAAGACAGTTTTTATTTTTGTTTTTTAAACCTGCAGCCCCCAGAGCTCCCTGAAGGTTTCCATTCCAGCTGGTAACCAGGCCTAGACCCGGTCAGCTTCTGAGTCCAGAGGACTGTGGGTGTGTTCGGAGTGGGGTGGGGGGGCAACACAATTATGTACAACACCAGCTTTATCCTCCGTGCAGATGACGGCTGCGGCTAACTTTCTGGTTTTCTCCCAAGATCGATGTTTCTGGCGATTTGGAAAATAAATACAGCTTCCCCAGTGCTGAGCCCAGGGCCAAGCACATCGTGAAAGTGAGAGCTGCTAACTCCAGAGACCCACAGTGGAGTGCGTGGAGCCAGCCCGTCGAGTTCGGTAAGCTGTGTCTGAGTGTGCTGGCTGCCCCTGCATAAAGGCCGTGCTGGACCGATACAGGGGCCTTGGTGGCATCTGATGCTGCCTGGGAGGGTCAAATATTTCACCTGCTTTCTCCTGGGTGCTGAGCTTTGTGTTTGCAGCACGACTGGGGATATGGTCTCACCCTGACTGTATCCCAAGCCATCCCCAGGAGGCTCAGATGACAGATGTCATCTCATAAATGGACCCTGTGACATCACTTCTGCGGTGCTCAGCCCTGGAGAAGGGACAGATTTCGAGGCGTTTTTAAAGCCCTGCCTCCCTCTGCCCCACCAGGAAATGGTCCCTCCTGGTCCTGGAGAAGGGACACATTTACAGGCCTTTCTAAAGCCCTGCCTCCCTCTCCCCTGGCCGGGAAGTGACCCCTTA